CGCGTTCGCGCGCGGAGCGTTGCGAACTGCGTAGAGCGATGAAAACTTCATGTTGGCTTGGAACCACAGTGAACCTTGACCGCTGACTGATTGGATCGATCAGGGAACATCGGCAAGTACGCATGGTCTCCACGATGGACATACAGAACGCCCCGCGCGCGCGTGGAGCGGCGCGCAGTGCCCAGACAGCCTTGGAAACGAGAAGGAACTTTTAGCTGTGACCGATCGGGTTTTCAAGTTAGCATGGGTTGAAGTGCGCGCTACGTACAATGAAGAATTCAGAACACTCAACGCGCGCGGGCGCGCGCTGAGCGTTGCGAAGTGTCGAAAGGAATGCAGTCGCCCTGCTGCCCTGGAAACTGAGGCGAGGTCATCGTGGTGCCCAATTGGATTTCCAAATTAACAGTGGTTTTGGCGTGCGTTCCCTACGGCATATAATACACAACGCTCCGCGCGGACGCGTGTGGAGTTCTGCGAAGTGTCCAAGATCGCAACAGAAATCGCCATGCCCCCGTTGAAACTACATCGAACCCGTGGTGGTGATTGGTTAAATTTCCTGGTGAACATCAGTTTTGGTGTGTGCGTGCGTTTGTTTTAGTCGCGGACCGCCGCGCGCCTGGGGAATGCGCCCGGATCGACCAGCCGGCCCATCTGCTTCCACATTATCAGTGGCGTGGTTGCACGCTTCGTCCTAAGTGCGGTTTTTGTTTGCCCTGAGACCACCTTCTCGCACCCTCCTTCTTGCTTTCTCATTTTATTTCTTTCACGTGCATCACCACCACCACCACGCCATCATCATCACTAGCACCATCCCACCATGATCACAGGCCACCACCATCACCACGCCATGTGTTCACATTCGCCATCATCATCAGATCACCATCGTCTTCAACATCCCATCAGGATCATCGACCGTCAGAAGCATCGATCATGTTTTCGCGCGAGAGTTCCGTTTTTGAGCGAATGTGGAGGAAGTGTTGAGCGGGAACCCCCTCCATTTGGGGCCCCAAGATCACGTTATTATTCCGAGCGGGCCATCCACATCCTGCAGCCGTCATAATTTCTAGGCCTTTGATGTTTGCATCCGGACTAAATCTCGAGCGGGAGCCTCGTCTTTCAGTAAACATGAAGGAAGTCTCGAGCGGGGGGCCCTTCCTTCTGGGACCGCCAGATCATGTTATTGACCCGACGGGGTCATCCAGATCCTCGAATTGTCGCCACGTTTGAAGTCCAAGTCCCGAATGTTGATGATTATTCGAGCGGGAATTTCGTCGTGCATTGAATATGGAAGATTTCTCGAGCGGGCCCCCTTCTTTGTATAGAACCGCCATATCGCGTTATCCATCCGAGCGGGCCATCCAGATGCGGTTAGCGTTGTCAGGCTTAGCGCGCAAATGACGACAGTCTCAAGCGGTAGCCCCGTTTTCCTTGCGTGGCCGCCAGATCAAGTTACCAATCCGAGCGGGCCACCCAGATCCTGCAACTGTCATCGTTCTGGGTTTGAATACGCGGGGAATCTGAGGCGGTGGCCCCGTCTCTGGGTACATCGCGAGGACAACTCGAGCGGGAACACCCTCCTTGTGGCGCCACCAGATTACTTTCTTAATCCGAGCGGGTCATCCACATTCTGCAATTGTCCCAACGGTTTGCTCCCGCGTCCCAGCGGCCTGCGGGGTTGTCCCAACGCCTTGGCCCGCGGGGTTACCCCAGCAGTTTCGCGATCTGGCCATTTGAAAACGCGCCCGCGCTGGCCGAGGCGGCGGCGACGCCACGGAAAATGGCATGCTTTGGTCAGATGGAAAGGGAGGCACACGAAGGGAGGAGGCAGGAAGAGGACAAGGAAACAGAAAAGGAGGGGGAGTGGGACAAGAAGGAAAAGGAGGAGGAGGAGGAGGAAAAGGAGGAGACGGAAGAAACGGATACGGAAGAAAAAGAGGAGGAGGATATACATAAGACGGCTTAAGGAGGGGAGGAGGACGAGGAAGAGGAGAAGGAGGAGGAGGAGGAGGAAGAACCCAAGAAAACGATAGAAGAAGGCGGAAGGCTTCCGCCAGGGCGAGGAGGAAAGGGCGACGGGCAAGCTGAACAGCCTCTCGTGGGAGGGGGTCCGACCGTCGGTGTGATTATTGTTCGGCCCCCGCGCAGTAACCTCCTCTTCTTCCCTTTTTTCCACCCTTCGTCGTTATCTGCATCCTCATATTCATTGCATACCCATCACCACAAGCACACTTTCATTAGCAACAACCATCACCAAAGCATCATCCTGATCATGACCAGCATCCCATCATGATCATCGGCCACCGCCACCATTACGGCACAGCATGGTCGTCGATCACCATAACCATCGGGCATGGTTTCGAACGGGAGCAGGGAGCCCCTTCCTTATGGGGCCGCCAGACCACGTTATTAATTTGACCAGCCTTCCAGATCTTGCAGTCGTCGTCGCGCTTGGGCCCTTAAGGCTTGAATTTGGAGGAAATCTCGAGCGGGAGCCCCACCCAATGGGGCCGCCGAGTCATAGAATTTGCCCGAAATGGCTATCCAGACTCTGCAACTGTCGTCATTGTTGAATTCCTGAGGCCTGAATATGGAAGAAGTCTCGAGCGGTCGCCCCATCCCCAAAAAAGGCCGGCATATCACCTTATTACTACGGGCGGGTCATCCCGAACTTATATCCGTCGGCATTTGGGGCTTCAACATGGACGAATATTCGAGCGGGAACACCCTCCCTGTGGTGCCGCCAGATGACGTTACTAATCCGAGCGTGTCGCCCACACTTTGCAAGTGTCATCGCGCCCCAGCGGCCCACGGGGTTGTCCCAACGCCTTGGCCGCGGGGGGGTACCCCAGCAGTTTCGCGATCTGGCCATTGGAGAACGCGCCCGTGCTGGCCGACGCGGCGGCGACGCCGCGGAAAATCGGCATGCGTGCCTTGGCCAGATGGAAGGGGAAGTAAGAGAGGAGGCAGGAGGAGGACAACGAGATTGAATAGGGGGACGACGGGGAAAGGAATAATTGGAGGAGGAGGAGGAAGAAGAAGAAGAAGAGGAACAAAAAGAGAAGGAACAGGAGGAGGAGGGACAAACAAAGAAAATGAGGAGGGAGATACAAGAAAAAGGAGGAGGACGACGACGACAAAGAGGAGGGTAAGGAAGAGGCCAATCAGAAGGCGGCCTCCGCCAGGGCGAATTGCAAATTCGACACATGCTCGTGGGGGGTCGTCCCACCGTCGGACATATTTACGGGCCCGATCCAGGCCCTCAGAGGGTGTTTTGTAAAGGCCGACTTGGGTATTTCTAGACGCTTCGCGTATCCCCACCAGCCCATCCAGAAACGATGTCCATGCGAGTTGAGAGGTGATCAGGGAAATGTGGGAGCAAAGGGGGGACGGCCGAACCGTGTGAAGGAGAGAGGGGGCGAAGGATAAAATTGGATGGGTGGATATGAGGGAGTAGGGGGAAGGAGGGTGAAGACGACGAGGAGGAGGAGGAGGAGGCGGAAGGGGAAGAGGAGGAGGAGGAGAAGGGATAGGAGGAGGAAGGAGGAGGAGTGGGTTGTGGGTCATAGTGTTCGCTGGGATGTTGCAGGAGGCCTCTCGGGGGCCTCGTGGCGGCAGTTAGTTCTGAGGCCTTTCAGGGGGGCGGATTTGGGCGCCTTAGGCCTCTTAGAGTGTCGCTGGGGAGCTTCCGGGCGTGCGGGTCACATTCCAACCAGAGCGGCCACTCTACAAACAGATGGGGCACTTTACAACCAACATGGGTTTTCCCACCAGGGCACTTTACAACCAGGAAGGCCATATTACAACCAGGAAGGCCATATTACAACCATTGAGACATGTTCAACCAATTCCGAAATATCCGTAGGTCCACGTGAGGGAGAAAATTCGCTCTCTGAAGCGTGTTGGTTGTAAAGTGACTCGTCTGAAGCGAGAATCTGTGAAGTGGCGGATTCCTAATGGGATCCAAAAGGAAACCTATTAGAATCGAGTGGCACCGTTCCCACTGGGATCCTGTTGGCATCAGATGAATCCATCTTGTTGGCATCAGATGAATCCCATCTGGTATCCAACACGATTCCTCGCTATGGGGCCTACGGGTGTCCTATTAGAATCCGATAGGGAGTCTTCCTGTTGAAACCTTGTGGGGTCCTTTCTAATGGAAACCAGCTTGGAACCCCAAAGAATTACAATCGAGGAACTTTCCTATTGGGATGCTGGGGGAAACGCACTGGGGTACCAGACGGAAGCCCGTTGGGGATCTTTTGGGGTTCTCTTTCGAAAACAATAGGAACAGCTTCTCTTGCAAATCCCATCGGAACCATATTGGCGAATACGGGGAACATCGCACTGGAATACAATCGGAATTATTCCTTTTTGATCCTTACGGGCACATTATGATCTCATCACGGCCCTACTTTAACCCAACGAGGACTTGTCCTCTTTGAATCATACTGTGCTCCGATTGGTGTCATATTGTTATCTCTGTGGTATCCAAAAAGAACTATTGGAACCCAATTGACTTCCAATCGGGATCCTCCCGCGACAGGCTGGTGACAGGCAAAAAAAAAGGTCTGAATGTACATCGCTTTGTTGGAGCGTCAGAACCTCAGCCTGAAAATATTGCTTCTTTTGGCAATAGTGCAGACGCAGAAGAACACGCGCGCCCCCAGGAGGGCGGAAATGTCGCCAAGAAGTCGTTGGTCAAATTCTGGCCAGTACATTTGGATTTCAAGAAGTGTTTTGCATCATAGACATGTTTTGCCCTCGCGCCTGATCGTCCGGCGAAGACAAAACTGTATGTTTTCGCATGTGCGGAAACATGCGTACCCAAAAGCGGACATGTGGCAAAAAATCCGCAGTACATGTCTAGCCAATGCATGTCAGTTTCAAATGTGGGCATTACGGAAGCACGTGCACCCAAGACAGCGGAAATGTGCGCAAGACATCGTTGATTCAATTATAGCTAATACATGCGCGTTTCTTGCTCTGGCGTGCCTGGTGTTCTGCGAGAGAGGGTGCGAGGGCGCCGTTGCGACCGTATGTTGCGTTAGTGCTCAAGCTTTTCGAGGTGCCCTCATGCCTGGGCTCCGCTCCGGGGTTCAGCTCTTGGGCACCGTCACTCAAGTCTGACCGCATATTCGTGGCGATCGGTTCTGTGCCCCCCCGCCCTGGCTGCCGATTCCGAACTGCCCCTCGGAGCCGCGGGCCTGGAGTCTGAAGTGCCCGAGCTAGCCGTGCCCCTCGGTGATTCAACACTCGGGGATCCGCTGCGGCTACGGCGTGGACCCCGCCCATGGTGCGATGGGTTGTGGTGGCGAAATGGCCCGCGCTTGCGGCTCCACGGGTTGGTGCGAGAGGTCTTCGGTTGCTCAATGGCACGCTCGACCACGACGTGTACGAAGAGAACTTCAGCGGGGACAGCCTCAGCGCATTGGGCGTTCGGTTCGCCAGGGCCCGACGGGGTCGAGGCGGGCCTGACCTTGGGAAGGATGGCGGCTTCAGGCTGAGGCTCACCGCTGGGATGGAGACCGTTGCCCTGTCAGCCGCGGCGATAGTGGCGGACGAAACCTGCGAGGGCACCGCTGGTTCGGTAACCGAGTTGCTGACAAATCGCGGCGCTGCTGGCCTCGGCGGAGCTGGAGGCGCTGCCGCTCTGGTCGGTGCGGGGCGAGGCCGGGGGCTCGAGCCCAGAGTCGTTGCGGAAAGGGCTGCTGCCTACTCCCGCTTGGGCGCCCGGGCGCCTGCGTCGGTGGGCGGAGCTCTGGCAGCGGCGGCGGGCTTGCCGCTCTTCGTTCATCCTGCTAGCCCGGAGTGGGCGATGACAGAGTCGACGGCCGCGGGTGGTCAGGAGACTGCCTCTACCTTCTGCAAGACCAGGCTGCTTGGAGACGACTCGGAGGTCATGCGGACAGATCGCGAGCGGATCGGGGCCACGCGCTTCTCGATGACTTTGCATCTGTACGCTGGGCCAGAGGCATGGCGATGCTCGGGCGCCTGGTGCCTTACTCGCATCGCCCGCCGCCGACGCGCGCCGCGGGGGCGCCCTGGACTGTTCAAGAGACAGGGCCACTAGACAAGCACGGACTACGGGGGGGCACGCTACGAGAGCATCGCACGGATGATCGACTTCGCGGAGCTCTGGGGCCCAGTGAACCTGGGGGCTGGAGTCAAAGGCGAGATCGCGATTCAGCAGGTGCAGTTGCACGAGCACGCGCACGCGAGGGAGGCGGAGTGGCCCTCGGGAAGGGGGCCCCCGCCTCGGAGGGAGACAGGAGCGAGAAGGGCCAGGGGCAGGTTCGAATGACGGGGCGCTCGCGTAAATTGACCGGGGTCCTTTCGAATTTGTTTCGCAAATATTATTGGGAATCTCTTTCAAATTAAAATCCGACCTCCATCCCTCCAAACTCCGCCGCAGGCGCCCTGACTAATAATAGCAATTCCAAATTGCGGCAGTACCCCCAAATTGGAGGCATGCCCCCTGGATTTGCCCAGGACCCCCCAGGAATCTTAGGGGCCCTGACGGATGATGATGGATTCTGCTGGTTTCCTCCCTGGACGCTCTCTTGGAGCCGTTTCGGGCCTTTTGGGAAGCCGCTTGGGCCGTCTCGAGGCCATCTTAGGTCGTGTTGCGTGTTGGGCCGTCTTGAATCGGTCTTGGGCAATCCTGGTGGCCCTGGTGGCCTGTTTGGGCTGGGTGGCAGTCATGTTGGATTCCTCGGAGGGCGCCAGGGGCATGTCTCGGCGCCGCATTTTGGACACCATCTGGTATTTGGAATCCAGATGATTGGCACCTTGGATTCCTCGGAGGGTGCCGGGCCATGTCTCGGACATGGCCCGGCGCCGTTCGGCGCCGCATGTCCGTGCATGTCTCGGTGGCAGTCATTTTGGATTCCTCGGAGGGCGCCGAATGGAAAACGTATTGAGTGGCAATGCATCGCCTCATGTTGAGGCCCAGAACGCAAGTGAAACAATTGGTTTTTCTCAACCAGCTTTCTGGTGACCCCCCCCTTCGTGGGTCACCTGGTGTGCTTGCGCCGTATCGAAAAAAAACATTGAGTGGCAGTGCGTCGCCTCATGTTGAGGCCCAGAATGCAAGTGAAACAGTGGGTTTTTCTCAACCAGTTTTCTGGTGACCCCCCCCCTGGTGGGTCACCCAGTGTGCTTGCGCCGCATGGAAAACGCATTGAGTGGCAATGCCTCGCCTCATGTTGAGGCCTAGAATGCAAGTGAAACAATGGGTTTTCCTCAACCAGTTTTCTGGTGACCCACCCCTTCGTGGGTCACCTGGTGCGCATGCGCCGCATGGCAAACATATTGACTGGCAGTGCGTCGCCACATGACGAGGCCCAGGACGCAGGTGAAACATTTTGTTTTTCTCAGCCACTTTTCTGGTGACCCACCCCTTCGTGGGTCACCTGGTGTGCTTGCGCCGCATGGAAAACGTATTGAGTGGCAATGCATCGCCTCATGTTGAGGCCCAGAATGCAAGTGAAACAGTGGGTTTTTCTCAACCAGTTTTCTGGTGACCCACCCCTTCGTGGGTCACCTGGTGTGCTTGCGCCGCATGGAAAACGCATTGAGTGGCAATGCATCGCCTCATGTTGAGGCCCAGAATGCAAGTGAAACAATGGGTTTTTCTCAACCAGTTTTCTGGTGATCCACCCCTTCGTGGGTCACCTGGTGTGCTGTCAACGTACCGAAAACGCATTGAGTGGCAGTGCGTCGCCTCATGACGAGGCCCAGGATGCAAGTGAAACAATTGGTTTCTCTCAACCAGTTTTCTTGTGACCCACCCCTTCGGGGGTCACCCAGTGTGCTTGCGCCGTATGGCAAACGTATTGAGTGGCAATGCATCGCCTCATGACGAGGCCCAGAATGCAAGTGAAACACTTGTTTTTTCTCAGCCAGTTTTCTGGTGACCCACCCGCTCGTGGGCCACGTGGTGTGCTTGCGCCGTATGGCCAACATATTGAGTGGCAGTGCATCGCCACATGACGAGGCCCAGAATGCAGGTGAAACAAGTGGTTTTTCTCAACCAGTTTTCTGGTGGCCCACCCCTTCGTGGGTCACCTGGTGTGCTTGCGCCGTATGGAAAACGCATTGAGGGGCAGTGTGTCGCTTCATGCTGAGGCCCAGGATGCAGGTGAAACAATTGGTTTTTCTCAACCAGTTTTCTGGTAACCCACCCCTTCGTGGGTCACCTGGTGTGCTTGCGCCGCATGGAAAACGTATGGAGTGGCAATGCATCGCCTCACGTTGAGGCCCAGGATGCAGGTGAAACAATGGGTTTCTCTCAACCAGTTTTCTGGTGACCCACCCCTTCGTGGGTCATCTGGGGTGCTTGCGCCGCATGGGAAACGTATTGGGTGGCAGTGCGTCGCCTGATGACGAGGCCCAGGATGCAGGTGAAACAAATTGTTTTTCTCAATCAGTTTTCTGGTGACCCACCCGTTCGTGGGTCACCCGGTGTGCTTGCGCATTCTGGGCCTCCTGACGAGGCCCAGAATGCAAGTGAAACAGTTGGTTTTTCTCAACCAGTTTTCTGGTGACCCACCCCTTCGTGGGTCACCTGGTGTGCTTGCGCCGTATGGAGAACGTATGGAGTGGCAATGCATCGCCTCATGACGAGGCCCAGAATGCAAATGAAACAATTGGTGTTTCTCAACCAGTTTTCTGGTGACCCACCCCTTCGTGGGTCACCTGGTGTGCTTGCGCCGTATCGAGAACGCATTGAGTGGCAGTGCGTCGCCTCATGTTGAGGCCCAGAAGGCAAGTGCAACAATTGGTTTTTCTCAACCCGTTTTCTGGTGACCTACCCCTTCGTGGGTCACCCGGTGTGCTTGCGCCGCATGGAAAACGTATTGAGTGGCGATGCATCGCATCATGTTGACGCCCAAAAAGCAAGTGAAACAAGTGGTTTTTCTCAACCACTTTGCTGGTGACCCACGCCTTCGTGGGTCACCTGGTGTGCTTGCGCCGTATGGAAAACGCATTGAGGGGCAGTGTGTCGCTTCATGCTGAGGCCCAGGATGCACGTGAAACAATTGGTTTTTCTCAACCAGTTTTCTGGTGACCCACCCCTTCGTGGGTCACCTGGTGTGCTTGCGCCGGATGGAAAACGCATCGAGTGGCAATGCATCGCCTCATGTTGAGGCCCAGAATGCAAGTGGAACAATTGGTTTTCTCAACCAGTTTTCTGGTGATCCACCCCTTCGTGGGTCACCTGGTGTGCTTGCGCCGTATGGAAAACGTATTGAGTGGCAATGCATCGCCTCATGTTGAGGCCCAGAATGCAAGTGAAACAATTTGTTTTCCTCAAACAGTTTTCTGGTGACCCACCCCTTCGTGGGTCACCTGGTGTGCTTGCGCCGTATGGAAAACGCATTGAGTGGCAGTGCGTCGCCTCATGTTGAGGCCCAGGATGCACGTGAAACAATTGGTTTTTCTCAACCAGTTTTCTGGTGACCTACCCCTTCGTGGGTCAATTGGTGTGCTTGCGCCGCATGGAAAACGTATTGGGTAGCAATGCCTCGCCTCATGTTGAGGGCCAGAATGCAAGTGAAACAATTGGTTTTTCTCAACCAGCTTTCTGGTGACCCAACCATTCGTGGGTCACCTGGTGTGCTTGCGCCGTATGGGAAACGTATTGAGTGGCAGCGCATCGCTTCATGACGAGGCCCAGAATGCAGGTGAAACAATTGGTTTTTCTCCACCAGTTTTCTGGTGACCCACCCCTTCGTGGGTCACCTGGTGTGCTTGCGCCGTATGGAAAACGCATGGAGTGGCAATGCGTCGCCTCATGCTGAGGCCCAGAATGCGAGTGAAACAGCTGGTTTTTCTCAAACAGTTTTCTGGTGACCCACCTCTTCGTGGGTCACCTGGTGTGCTTGCGCCCTATGGAAACGTGTTGAGTGGCAATGCGTCGCCTCAGGTTGAGGCCCAGAATGCAAGTGTAACAGTTTGTTTTCTCAACCAGTTTTCTCGTGACCCACCCCTTCGTGGTCACCTGGTGTGCTGTCGCCGTATCGAAAACGCATTGAGTGGCAGTGCGTCGCCACATGCCGAGGCCCAGAATGCAAGTGAAACAATTGGTTTTTATCCACCAGTTTTCTGGTGACCCACCCCTTCGTGGGTCACCTGGTGTGCTTGCGCCGCATGGAAAACGCATCGAGTGGCAATGCATCGCCTCATGTTGAGGCCCAGAATGCAAGTGAAACAAACGGTTTTTCTCAACCCGTTTTCTTGTGACCCACCCCTTCGTGGGTCACCTGGTGCGCTTGCGCCGTATGGAAAACGTATTGAGTGGCAATGCGTCGTTTCATGTTGAGGCCCAGAATGCAAGTGAAATAATTTGCGTTTCTCAACCAGTTTTCTGCTGACCCACCCCGTCGTGGGTCACCTGGTGCGCTTGCGCCGTATCGAAAACGCATTGAGTGGCAGTGCGTCGCGTCATGTTGAGGCCCACAATGCAAGTGAAACAATTGTTTTTTCTCAACCAGTTGTCTGGTGACCGCCCCCTTTCGTGGGTCACCTGGTGTGCTGGGGCCGTATGGCAAACGTATTGAATGGCAATGCTTCGCCTTATGTTGAGGCCCAGGATGCTAATGAAACAATTGGTTTTTGTCAACCATTTTTCTGGTGACCCACCCCTTTCGTGGGTCACCTGGTGTGCTTGCGCCGTACGTATGGGAAACGTATTGAGTGGCAGTGCGTCGTCTCATGACGAGGCCCAGGATGCAGGTGAAACATTTTTTTTCTCAACCAGTTTTCTGGTGACCCACGAAAGGTCACCTGGTGTGCTTGCGCCGTATCGGAAACGCTTTGAGTGGCAGTGCGTCGCCTCATGTTAAGACCCAGAATGCAAGTGAAATAATTGATTTGTCCTTACCTGTTTTCTGGTGACCCACCCCTTCGTGGGTCATCTGGGGTGCTTGCGCCGTATGGGAAACGTATTGGGTGGCAGTGCGTCGCCTGATGACGAGGCCCAGGATGCACGTGAAACAAATTGTTTTTCTCAATCAGTTTTCTGGTGACCCACCCGTTCGTGGGTCACCCGGTGTGCTTGCGCATTCTGGGCCTCCTGACGAGGCCCAGAATGCAAGTGAAACAGTTGGTTTTTCTCAACCAGTTTTCTGGTGACACACCCCTTCGTGGGTCACCTGGTGTGCTTGCGCCGTTTGGAGAACGTATGGAGTGGCAATGCATCGCCTCATGACGAGGCACAATCGGTGTTTCTCAACCAGTTTTCTGGTGACCCACCCCTTTCGTGGGTCACCTGGTGTGCTTGCGCCGTATCGAGAACGCATTGAGTGGCAGTGCGTCGCCTCATGTTGAGGCCCAGAAGGCAAGTGAAACAATTGGTTTT